AAGCCTTTGCCTCTTTTTTTCCTTGAGATAGGAAAAGGCACTTAAGCCCCTGTTTCCAAAGGTATTTCTGTCTTCTTAACTCCCACTGAACTTGGTACTTGACTGCTGTAGAGAAGCTGACATTTAGGTTTTATCTAGACAATTTCTGAAAATACCTTCAACTCCCTGGAAAGTAAAGGAACAAACATTAGTGGCATCTCCTAAAAATGGAGAATATTTGAGGAAGTCAGGAATAATCCGAAAGAGCCAAGCCTAAAGCAAGTTTGGAGGAATGATGCCAGTTTAGAAAAACAAGAACAGTTTAAGTAACACAGGGAAATGATAAAGCTACACTAGAAAATGAAAATAAACAACAGTGAGTACACATTGTTTAAAATTTACCTTGACTGTATATATTTTGATTATGGCTATTCACACCAAAATCAGCTGTAGGCTGGATTTTACTTGTTTACTTAAATTGAGATGGTTAAAAGCACATATCATTTTATTCTCTTTACAGAAACAAATAAAATAAAAAAAAAACACAACAAAAAAAAGTAGAGTTTGAAATTATCACATAAAATTTCCAAAGACTTCTACAGATGTTTTTCGCTGCCTTTATACTCTTACTTCATTTTATGAGTCACTTGTGATACTTGATCAGCTCTACTTTGCTTTGTATTTATAAAAAAAGAATAGAGTGTCAGCTTTATGTCATGGTGGTGGATGCATCTATATCTCTTCACTTGCATGCAATCCAGCTCAGCACCTATGACCTCGTGTCCTTCTTTTTTCACAGCAGTAATACAGTTCAATCACAACCAGACAACTTTACAAGACTTTCAGAATATCTACAAAACATGTGGTCCTCTCTCTCCTTTCTTCCTCCCCATCCTTAATTGAAAATTGCTATTTGTTATTTATACAAAACATTCTGCAATGTGTACCTGGGTGATAGGAAGAAAGGAGAAAACAAGCTCTAGCAACCACATGAAATGTATGTGCCAGTTAATTGGACATTTCCCAACACCTGCATTAAAATTATTTGGAAGTTGTTAGGGAGTGAATTGTTCTATGAGTAAAGAAAATCCAAAACAAACAAAAAAAAAAACAAAGAAAAAAAAAAAAGCAACCAAAAAAAAAAAAAAAAAGTAAAAAGAAAATTTTTAGCCCTTCGTTTCTTATCTAACAGGTGTTCAAAAAATAAGTAAGAACAATGCTACTTAGTCCCTCAGTTCATCACAGGAAAAAAAACCCAAAACAAAAAAAAACACCAAAAAAAACCAATAAAATCCCCACAAAAACCTGCTAGTTCCTTTAGGTTGAAACTTATTTCCCATCAGGTTTGTCAAACATATCCCTCACATTAGATGAGACAAGAAGTCCTTGTGAATGGATCAGTAAGCTCATTCAAACTATTCAAATAACTTCTACAAATGTCAAGTTTTAGAAAACAAGAGCCTGTGCAGAATATGCCTCTACCATTTCACTTCACAAAATATGCTTCAGAACATGATCCTCTGATGCTGTTTTATTAAAACCACAGCACTGGCAATCACTGCCAAGAAATGATGCTGATCTGAAAGCTCTAGCTGTAAAAAGCAACACCTTCAGAGAGGAGGAATATTTATTATTAAAAAGTGCTACAAAACCCTGTGATGTAAAAAAGAAAGCTGTGTGCATTCTTAGAGAGAGCTGCCATAATCCTGCTGAGGGACATTTGTGTGCCTAGCTCAACTACCCGTGTAAGGCTGGCCAAATGTTTGATTAAATTCTCAGAGTAAGCTCTGGATCCCCACACAAAACTCTGGTAAACTGTTCTTAATGTTAACCAGGTGTCCAGAAGCAGATGAGTACCCTTCTGAGGAGTCCTTTTAATATAACAGTTTAAAGTAAATAACCACTTTGAAGTTTAATATAAAGAGAGGGTTTGATTTGTTGTTGTTTTTTTGGTTTTTTTTTTCCCTAAAGCTCAGTGCAACTTAAAAGCTACATTAAATTAAGCAAATTGAGGCTGAGGGGTGTTGAAGTTGTATGGAAAAATAGACTCTTATTACACTGATGGGAATGCACTTTCAAAAGAGACATGTAATTTTATCATGAGCTACAGAAATCAAAGTTTTGGTCTGGTTTTTATTTCTTGATTTTGTTCTTTGCTTCACGTGTGGTTTGGGTAGGAGTTTTATTTGGGTGGGTAGGTCTTTGGACTTTTTCAAACAGACTTAAAATTTTCATATGGCCATTCAAATCTATACTCAAGGTGTTAGACTCACAGAAGAAAAAAAGCATACAAAATTCAGGATTACATAGAACAAAACCAGATAAACTATTTTTCACATACAAAGGCAAAAAGCTTCTGCCTTTAATCACAGCCATAGGTGCTGGGAGTTCAGAAGCCCCGTGAGCCTGGAGCACTGAGGAACACGTTGACCAAGAACCATCTGATAACTCACCAACTGCACCCATCCAAGTTGGGATCTCCTGGCAGGGGACACCCTCCTGGAGCAGCTCTGTGTCAGGAAAAGGAGATACACAGGACTTTTTTGCTCTTCAGCTTCTTGTTTTATTGTTAATTTATCAAAACTCCAGCACTCTGTCTGCACCAGACTCTGCGTGCAGGAAAACAGCACAAAAATGGCCAACAACCTCATGCTGCAAGGCTTTTAAATATAATTAAAAACTAAACTACCCAATTAAGAAGTGACACCTAGATTATTTTCTCTCCTAACCTAATAACTGACCCCTAAAGACCCGCAATGAAGATTTTTCTACCCAATTACAAGATACCACCAAAACCCATGCAGAAAAAGGAAGAAGGAAGAAAAAGGAACACGAGACAACACCCTATACCCTCGTTCCCATCTACAACATACTAAAAATCCTAAAACCTAAATTTCTCACCCATGTGACATACTAAGTTAATCTCTGTAATCCATTCCACACTTTTGTGGTCTCTAGTTCATTTTGAGGCTTTGACTTTTTGGGTCAAAGTCGGAGCTTCCCTGGGAGTCAGAGCCCCTCAGGGCACACAGAGAGATATTCCCCTTGCCCTGGGTTTCCACACAAGTGCTTTATTTAAATTCCACTTTTAATATCCAAAAGATTCTTTCTTTAAGGTCTTTAAGCACCCAGCCAGAATAAATATGGCTTCCAGTTCTAAGCAGGGAGCTTTCTTCTTGCTCACTAGCTTGCTTATGACTATACAATTTAATTAACATTTCTTTAGTACATTTTCTGCCAGATAGCGACTTCTTTCTTCAACTTTGCTTTTCAAAAACACTATATAATAAATCACAAGGGAAAAATCTTTATTTTTAATTTTTCCATTTATGTATTTAATGAACATTATTGAATTTTTGCCAAGTATTTATTGGAAACTTAGAACAAATATCTGTGAACTACTAATTCATTTCTGTCTGTGAGGATGAAGTGTTCTGCTGACACCAGAATTTAAGTAAAAATTAGCTCTTTTATTAGAAATCTGCTCTTCATTTTCAGTAACATTATAAAAGGCTGAGTTTTAAACTAAGCTAAAAATCAAAAGCTGTTTGGTTTTTGCCTTTTTTTTTTTATTGAAGCTTTTCCATCCTTTGAATATAACAAGTTTTGAGGAAACCTTCAAAAACACAGACAGCAGAATGCCATGACAGACCTACTACTAATTAGTGCTCTGCACTGGATTTGGAGTTTTCAGCAACGAGGACCAGCGTGGCCTCTTGAACTGCTTTAGTTGTGCCTGCAGTTCTCCCTGTGAAGCTCACGTTGTGCAGGTGGATTTGCTGCATTTTGATGCACAGCTCCTCAGATCTTTTGGTGCCTTGCTGCTGGGAGGTCTCACTTCCCAGCTGACCCGTGAGAGCTGCACCAGTGGTGCCATTTCCCCACTCCATCAAGGTTTCAATTCCCCCTTGACACCCTTTGTTCTCAGTTATTAACCCACCTCTCTGACAGAGCTGTTCGTGTTCCATTTGAGGATAGGCATTTTTCAGCTTTCATGCCCTAAATATGAGGAAAAGTGAAATACCAGCACAAACACCAGAAATTTTACCATACTCGCCCACAAATTTCTCTGTCACATGCCCATTAAAAAGTTCTGGTCAGCAAGTTGGCAGGGATATCCTGAGTGATCAAATGGAATCTACTTTGTCACAGACCTCTAAGGCATGGTATTAGTTGTTTAATTATGAAACACAACTAGACTTCTTTAGACTTCTTCTTTGTAAAGAAGCTCTGTTATTCTCAGAGTATTTCATCCGTAGAGTGAAATATAATTCAGTATTTAGCAGCATTATTTCTTCCTTGCTGATATTTTGACAGGATCAGGTCCATTAAAATAGAGCTTTTAGTGCACAATCCTTTATGTCTGTGTGTAAACTACCATAGTTATCTGACGTTTTCACACTTATAATGTATCTGAAGCATCAATTATAAATCAAAGCATTCAGCATTCAGTAGGTTTCAAATTATGAATGCTCTTGATCATATTTCATCTTACAGCTCCTTTGACAAACTATATGACAAAAGATTTTTTTTTAAAGCCTAATCTTTACTAAATAATTGGCTATGTAATTGTTATGTTTTTGCATTTATGAAAAGGAACTGTGTATTTTCATTCTGAATTCTTTCTAGGCTAAGGAAACCACAAAATCAAAACAAATACTGAAACCACAATTTACTATCTGTGAAGGGGTCCTTCCCACAATATCCACAGACTCATCATAGGCAAAAGCTAAATATGTCAACATAAGAATAAAATTATTATTTGGTTAATTGGGATATGTGTAGTCCTGTATCAGATGCACTTTAAATGGAAATCATAACATAGCAAGTACCAGTGCAATATTATTTTCATATACAGCCCTGACCAGAAGTAAAGTTTTAAGAAATGAAGTAAGTCTATCACAAATTCTTGATTTGACATGTGGCTAGGCTGTAGGCCAAATTTATGAGTTGAAAATAAATCTCAATATTAAGGAATATAAATATCAGTGTTTGGTGGAAGCCTGTGCACGTACACATACCTTTTTGCTTTAAATTGGGCTAGGTGTTTTCCTGCCTCAGAGTTGTTCTGCACATCCCTTCAGTTCTTCACATCATCCCAGGCAATGGATTGGCACCCAGTGAGAAATGCTATTTTCCTGCAAGCAGAAAAAATAAGAATTGTGGCATCTTGCTGTCACAGAGCACTCCTGGTTTCAGCAGCAGCAATATATATTTATATACATATATATATAAATATATAATATATATATAATATGCAATTATATATATATATATATACACCAATGAGCAATATGCAGCAGTTGGTTTGTGAGGAACATGCTCATCACATGTAGAGCACAGACTGCACACTTCATGTCACGGCTGCTCTTCTCCAGCATCAACCTGCCAGAATTAACTTCAGCTTTCTTAATTTCTGCCCTAAGATAAATAGTAACTATTTCCCAAGAAACCTTTCTTTTCTGGTCTGCTTTTCTATAATTAGCTTTTTTT